CCCTCGCTTTGGGTTAAAACGAGCTGAACTTTCGCCCATCATATGATGGACATCATCAGAGCTGGAACTTTTTCTTGTAAAAGTCTCACGCTAGCATTATCTCAAGAAGACTCTCCGGCTCTATCTTGCCTGACATGAGATATAATGGTCTCAAACTAGTAGGCTTGCTGGTAGAAGGAAGATACGAGAGAGAGGCTATTAAAATTGATAGATTAATCAATTAGTTGAATCTGAGGAACGGTGGTAGATAGTTTAGTAAGAACTACTTATGCTTGATTGATAGATTAAAAGAGAGAGAGGGGGGGCTGAGCCGCCATCCAAAAGAAGGCGACTCAATTTATCACTAATGGTTCTAACTTCACTCACATTCGTCCAACAAGTTAGATTAAGCTCTTCAACCAAACCAGACGTGCGAGATTTTGCAGCCCCAGTCATTCCTTTCCTTGGGTGGTTACACGTTAATGACCCTAGACTGAGAAGTTGGGACAGGTGGTTTCGTAACTTACAAGCTTACATCTCATTATCTCAACCATACTTCCTTACGGACTTGCGCAGTCTTGGTCAGGGCTTTTCTTGGGTCTTTAAGCCTTGATGCCCAGAACCTGACATTAGCCTTTTTCTATCACATTGATTAAGGACCGGTATTACGTATAGTCTTTGACACACATACTCGAGCAAGAATAGCAGGATCAGTATGGAAGATAATTAGCCAAACCATCCTATATCTATCTGTGCCTGTTCATTTTTGCTTTTGGTTATTAATATTTATACGAGGTAAGATAGCGTCGGATAGCCTTCTTGATATAGTGATAACGTGAGACCTTTAAGAGTGAATTCCAGCTCTGATGATGTTCATCATATTATTTACGAAGGCTGAGTCCGTTTTCACCCGAAGCGAAAGAGCGTGTCTGGTGGACTGTGTCAACCTGTATGTCGTAGTAAAGCCAAACGACTCCAGTATACCCGGATTCAGCCGTCGTCTTCTGGTGAGATCAACCTACGAATCTCTTCATGCGCTTTCATACGAAATGAAGGTCTCCCCAACAAGGTATTCTCTTAAACAATTCCATTTCCTCTTGAATTCTTTTAGAAACTACATTTTTATCAGAATATTATTTGCTTTATTGTCTAAACTAACATCGATTTCCTATGCATGCCCTCTTTAGCTTGGCTAATTCTAGTTTAGTTAATGGCCGATTATCCAAAGTATCTACTCTATTGGCCCCATTTTTTTCATGATTTTTTAACTGAGTTTACATAAGTTTATTTTACTATTTCGTATTGTGATAATAACAATGATTTTCCTAATTTATACTTCTACAATTTATTGTAAGTTATATTTTTTCATGAAAAAAAGGACTTAAATGATCACAAATTGCACCATAGAATTTAATTTCTCAATTAAACTCAAAATATTGTGATCTGGATTTGCAATATAATAGTGCATATTATATACAACCTTTTTATTTATATATGAGCTCATTCTTAGAGGAAATAATGAAGATGGCATGTGCAGAGCCAGATAGTCGCCTAGCTTGTTTTCTCTCTTATTTACCTATTAGCATTTTTACTCTTTTTTGACTCAATTTATTTACCATTGCTAAGATATTAAATGCCCAGATGCTTTATCTTTTCATCCTTCCTCATATTTTCAATTTACTGATATTATTTGAATATGTTTGGCGTTTCGATCATTTATTTCTATGCATTTTGTCTCAACTTCGTCCAAACTTCTATTTTATATTACGGTTAACAAAGACCATTTTCCTTTTTCAAGAAATGACAAGTAATTACTTGATTTATGGTTTTTATTCAGCTTTTTCAATTAATACAAATTATCATGTCTATGGAAAATTCTTATTTTAGCCAGTTAGTACTCACAGACTGGGAGGTATTTAAAATGTATATATAACCGGAAAGAGAACTTTGACAAACCAAGATTTTTCTGTGATAACAACTGCATCCACTATTGACCTGCTTTTTTCAGTAATTTTAGCATTATTTTTATTTTTTACTGGCTGCCGGACCTAACGGCGCTTTTATAATTATTTTTGAACATGTTCTCATGTTTGTGTTTAGCAGTACGTTGGACACTATATACATATCGTTATTTTGATTTTTCACAACCAAAGCTTCGATTAAATTAATTGATTAATCCGTTTTATGTGCAACAACCACAGCTTATCCTTATTTTATCGCATTCACTTTTTATCTTTGATTATAATCCAGTTAACCTGCATCACAGGAAATGTGGCTCTAATGTCTCGCTCCTGGGGCGACCGGCTACTGCTCCAAGCTCTCGAGTTGGAGGCCCAACTTGATACAAGCTCCGCCTTACCCACCGACCAACTGGATGCAATGATCTCACGTCTTGAGCATTGTCTCGAGGGGACCGAGACCCGGTTGCTTGATGCCTTAGCAACAGATGAGTCTATTTACAGAGAGTTTAATGTGACAGCTACTGATCGTGACGATCGGCATCTGCCTTTGCCTCTTCTGGTGAGAACGGGTATTGAGGCCTGCCTCAATCGCATAAGGGCGAAGCGAATCTCTAGGGTTAAGCCCGAATTCACGGATAGTACGCATAGTAAACTTTCCGCTATGCTTCAGACTCGACTCCTTGAAATAGAAGAAGATACACCGCTTATTGTGGAGTTACCAGGGCAAGCAATCAAACCCAAAGCAGTAGGTATCTGCCACATTTTCAAGCTATGTTGATTCATTCTGTAAATTTTACTCCCTAACTTCTACATCGTATAATCACAC